TACAGCCCGAAGCTGCAAGTGGACTGTGAAAGGCTTGGGAAGTGGGCGGAAGGCCGAAACTTCAAAAGAAAGCATGGCTATCACAATTCCGACTACCTGAAGTGGATGGAGTGGGTGCGGGGTGACATGGAGTGGGTGAGGATGGAGTTTTAGAGCTAACTGATCTGGGGAATGAAAAAGCCTCGGCGACCTCCTCGCAGATTTTTTCCGCTCACAGGTCTGGCTGGCCACCAGGGTCTGGTGGTAGAACCTGCTACCCAAACCTCTTTCTTTGGAAGAGGAGAACAATCGAAAGGCTAGAACTGTGACGCGTCTCGAAACCACTTTCACAGCCACTTACCCACTGTACAAATCTCACTAAGTCACTAAGGCAGCTGAGAAAGCTGAGATAGTAGCAGCTATACTTTTTGCGGATTGTGACTGGTGCTACTTAAAAAATTCGCAACCTCAGCCTCGGCGGATGGGCCACTTAGGACCCCGATCCACCATTGCCGCATGCTGGAGCATCTGGATTCCAGTGTTCACATGAAGCTGGGTTGGTCTTGAACTAAGGGCCGTGTTCAATCAAACTCTACCAATTCCCAATTCAACAACCGTCTGAGAGGCTGTTCTGTCTTGACACCTCCAAGTGAATTTCGCTCGAGATGTTTTTTCAGGGCCCCAAACACCGAAAGGAATGAAGGAATTCGTTACGACTGGATTTCGTTCTCTAGTTAGCTCTGAAGGATGCAGGGTAGAAGCTTTGTGATCCGCCTTTTGGACATCAGGGGCGTAATCATCAATAGAATTCTATAGGATTGTTGTTTTTCCTTTCCCTCAGACTCATCATTTTTCCTTGGAGACCCGATGAGTTCGTTCTTCCGCTCCTTCGTTCCTGCGATGGCGGCATCCGGCTGGATACAGGATTGGTGCCCAAAAAGCTCGTGCCCTCTTGGGTTCAAAGGAAAAACCTCGCGGCCCACACATGCGCTGTGTTTGGACCGTGGCGAAATCTTGATCAGTCAACGTCACAAAGAAACTCGACTACATGGATACTCTTGGTCGTCCAAACCGTTAGAAGGCGCACCTACCATGTGCGCGTTAGAAGGCACAGAACGACCAGCAAGACCCTTGGCACAAGCATGGCCTTTCAAAAAACGCCAAAGAATGGCCATGACGAGCATCAGTGCAGCGAAGAAAGCTGAGCGCCTGAGTTCTGACCCTTTCAGGCCAAAGCAATGGGCTACACCAAGTCGGAGGCAAAGAGTAAAAAGCTGCCAAAGTCTTAGGTCTTTGGAGGTATTTCTACCAAAAGGCTGGGTGAATTGGAGAGTTGCCTTCCAGGTATAGTGAATGGACCGGTACTTTTGGGGTAGAAGTAAAGCGATGAACTTCTAAAGCTCCAAGAATCAACGGACGGTGAAGCTCCATGCGCAGCACGAACAGTTGCAGCACCTTGGCTTTTCTTCAACACAGATTTTTTGAAGGCCACATGGCATGTTTCACCATCCTCCCAGGAGAGCATCTCCAAACATAGCTGAATGTCGAGTGATCGCCATGGCTTTCAACATGTTTCACTTAACCAAGGGATGTTGACTGGGTTTTCGCTCTTTGTGCCTGGTATTCAGATGCCTTCACTAGTCTCTACATATTCTTACAAATGGTAGATTCCCTGGGCACCTTCAAAAGTTTTCAACATGTGTTGCAAGAAACCATCAAACAAACATTTTGTCAAAGGCATGTGTATAAAATAGGGAGACCTCCCAGTTCACCCCCTGGAAGCTTTGGACATAGACCAGTGTACCTAGCCAGGGGCGATCGGGGGTCTCCCTATTAAAATGCACTCCCGCATCTTCGCCTAAGCGCTGAGACGAGAACACACGCGGGAATGATGAGAATCAGCACTCGGAGATTCATCAGCACCTCTCGGAAGGGGGATGACGCCTTGCAGCAATAGCGGTGTGAGAGACAAACGACCAGCTCGGCAAGCATGGGCGTTACCAGAAGCTAGTTGCTCAAACCATCCAGGGCAAGCTGCACAGCACGACTCCACTCTCCAATGCATGCCCAAGAGACTGCGACATCCAGAAAACCCCACATGAGGGGACATGTGACTGACAGAATCCCAGTTCGTGTAAATACCTGGTATTGCAGGTCTGACACGACCGTCTCCATCACCTCACTTCGGATGCACTCTTCAAATGCCTTCTCACTGCCAAACCACTTCGAGACACATGCTTTGACAATCCTGCGATCACAAAGAATTGTCTCTTGCCCCTCACGGTGGTTGACTTCACAGCAACGACTGCGAGTCTTGTCAAAATTCACCGAGTTCAACTGCTGTTCGAGCAGTGCCAAAGATCGAAAGTAGCCACGTAGGACACTGACCAAGAAAAAGCCTGCAAAACTACCTATGAGCCACATCACAAGGACTATATGCATGTAGCTCTCCGCGTCATTGGGTATGAGCACCATTGGAACCATTTGCGAGACCAACACTGAAAAGGAGATGATCGATATTGGTCCAAGAAATGAAGGCCAGATCATCAGCTGTTGTTCGCTCTCCGACTTGCTTTTGAGGAATGCAGCCAACCTCATGTGATCACGGAACACATCGGAAACACCATCGCCCCAACGGAAGAACCCCGCGACCTCTTGGCTAACCCCAGTTTTGGTCGATTTGTCGCACCCCTGGTTGGACGGGTCGGGCTCCAGGTGGGTCATGACCCAATCATCCCAATCCCTAGTTGCATGTTGTGGAGCGTGGAGAAATGTGGAGAAAACACAAACAAACTGTACATGACCCATCACCAAAAGGCTTATCGAGTCTTCTGGAATATCATGGATGGTGTCTCCTCAATATATGGATCTGAGAACACCCCCAAAAATAAGGGTTGCGGATCTATTTTTGATGTTTTTTGCATTGTTTTTCCGTTTTTCGTGGCAAGTGCAGTACTTTGCGGTCCTTGAAGTACAAAAAGTGCAAATTTTGTCGCAGGCGCAGTACTTTGTGGACCTTGAAGTGCAAATTTCGTGGTAGGCGCAGTACTTTGTGGACCTTGAAATGCAAATTTTGTGGTAGGCGCAGCACTTTGTGGACCTTGAAGTGCAAATTTTGTGACAGGTGCAGCACTTTGTGAAGTTGGAAGTGCAGATAGGGAGAGAGAGAGAGAGAGTGAAAGAGAATGAAAGAATGAAATTTGACACTCAAAAGCCATAAGCCACACGCCTCACAAGCCATCGTCCTTGCTTCCTTCCTGCCTTCCTTCCTTCGCATGGCTAGAAAGCCACGAAAGCCAAAAGCCAAACGCCACAGAAGCCAGAAGCCACGAAAGCCAAAAGCCACAGAAGCCAGAAGCCACCAAAAAAAACAATACACTTCCAAAAATAAGCAGACATTTGGAGAAAATGAGGCGAACAAAAAGACCCAACACCGAGTACCAGACTAAAACTCACACCCATTCAGAGTTCAGAACAGCTTCAAAACACTCCAACCTTTGTCAAAAGACGTCCGCGCAGGAAAGGGGTCTGGTCGGACGACCAACTCCATCTCTATCTGGACTCTCCGTCCGGGCTCTGCGACCCGAGCAAAAACAGCGCAAAAAAACCGGGGAGACTCTCAAGCTCGGTGGCCAAAGAGCTTGAACACATGCTTCAAAACGTGAAAGGGCCACCTGAAGGGCTTTGACCTGGCTTTGACCAACCCCAAAACCTCTGTTTTATGTTTTTTTCGGTGTGGCCAGAGACCACCACGGACTGGGTGTGGAAGCGGAAAGCGAGGCCAGTCACAAGGCGCAGGTCGGCGATCGCGTCCGAGAAAGCATCAAGGCACCTATCTATAAGAAAGGTCTATAGAGTTTGATAGTAGGCTGGAAGCCATCGCTATCAGGTTGGAGGCCGATAATATTAGAAACAAAGGAAAACAGAAAGGGTATGTATCCTCATATATATATAT